AACACCCACGATGTTTCATATCTCACTGACACCAAGACCACGATGTTCATATCTATCACTGACACCGACACCAGGACATTCCTATCCCACTGACACCGACACAGCGACATTTCCTATCCCACCGACACCGCGACGTTCCTATCCCACCGTCACCGCGACATTGGCCTATCTCACTGACACCAGACACAGCGACTTTCATATCCCACTGACACCGACACCGTGATATTCATATCCCACTGACACCGACACAGCGACTTTCATATCCCACTGCCATAACACCGACACCGTGATATTCATATCTCACTGACACCGACACAGCGACTTTCATATCCCACCATGACACCGAAACCGTGATATTCATATCCCACTGACACCGACACAGCGACTTTCATATCCCACTGACACCGACCGTGATATTCATATCCCACTGACACCGACACAGCGATTTTCATATCCCACTGACACCGACACCGTGATATTCATATCACCACTGACACCGACACAGCGACTTTCATATCCCACTGACACCGACACCCGTGATATTCATATCCCACTGACACCGACACAGCGACTTTCATATCCCACTGACACCGACACCGTGATATTCATATCCCACTGACACCGACACAGCGACTTTCATATCCCACTGACACCGACACCGTGATATTCATATCCCACTGACACCGTGATATTCATATCCCACTGACACCGACACTTAATATTCATATCCCACTGACACCGTGATATTAATATCCCACTGACACCGTGATATTCATACCGTGATATTAAAATCCCACTGACACTGACACAGCGATATTCCTATCCCACTGACACCGTGACAATTTTATCACTTTTTTCCCCACTGACACCGACACAGGAACATTTCTTCCCCCACACTGATGCCCTGGGAAGTTTTTTGCACTCTTCTCTCTTACATTGGTGTATTGGTTTACCGCCCTCTGAAAACTGATATCCACGGCGAATCGCAATGTTCAGAGGGTAATATAGCAGTGGCTGGCAGGTGTTCCGTTTTTTATTTTTTCGATGTGCAAGCTTAGAGGATCCTATGCACACGCTGTCTGAGAGACAATTGTCAAAATTGCTGCGCAGCTCCTGTTCAGTCGTGTTGCAGCGACTGGAAGTGCGCAGTTTTTCACAACCTGGTCCCACCACAAGAGGCAAAGGAGGGGGGGACGAGAACACAGTCCTGCACCTCCCCTCCCGTCTTCTCTCGGCTTGCCGCTCCCAGCGCTGGCTGACAGGAGTAGTGATGCCGCTGTCATAGCCAACTCCTGTCACCTTGTAAAAACAAGAAGGAAGGCGCCCTCATGCCATACAGCAAACCATTGCGCACAGGGCACCCCCCCGCCCCTGTCCTGACTCATGGGTGTTGGACGGATGGATGACAGCAGCCGCGCTGTATCTTATCCTGAATCGCTCAGCTGGTGTGCTGAGCACCTCCGATTTTTCTCCTCCCTGTTGAACATATCAGATGGGTTTATCTAAACTGGCCTGATAATAAAATCTGCATCTGAATAAACCCTTCCCCCTCCTGAGGATTCCCCCCCCCACCACTCGCCCTCCTGAGGATTCCCCCCCTCTAGCCCTCACTGAGGATTTCCCCCCCTTCCGCCCTCCTGAGGATTTTCCCCCCCCTTCCTCCTTCCTGAACCAGCCATTTTTTGCGTTATGGCGCGTGCGTTACTTTAACTGACAATTGCGCCGTTTCATGCAATGCCGCACCCAGATCCAAATGTACATTCCTTTTTTTCCAGAAAATTGAGCTTTTCTTTCGGTGGTATTTGACTGCACTTTTTTTTTTATATATTTTGCACCATAAACCAAAAAGACCGGCCATTTTGAAAAAAAAACTAGATTTTTGACTTTTTTGCTATTAACCACTTCCGGAAACGCTTTCCCCCCCTTTCCAGTCCAGTCATTTTCCCCCCTTCCCAGTCCGACACACTTTCCCCCCCTTGCCAGTCCCCCGGACACTTTCCCACTTCCAGTCCGGACACTTTACCCCCCCTTCCCAGTCCTGGACACTTTCCGGACACTTCCCTTCCCTTCCATCCCTTTGGGGGGGGGACACTCCGGGCCACTTTCGTCCCTCCCCTTCCAGTCCGGACACTCTCACCCCCCCCCCGGTCCCGGACACATTCCCCCCTTTCCCTTCACCCCTTCCAGTCCAGTCACACCCCTTACACTTTCCCCCCCTTCCAGCCTCTTTCCCCCATTCCAGACACTTTCCCACCCCTTCCAGTCCGGACACTTACCTTCCCTCCCTTACCCAGTCCGGCCCACTATTCCCCTCCCTTCCAGTCCGGCCACTTTCCCCCCCTTCTCCAGTCCGGACACTCTCCCCCCCCTTTCCGGTCCGGACACTTTTTCTCCCCCCCTTTCCGGTCCAGGACACTTTTCACCCCCTTCCAGTCCAGACACATTTTCACCCCCTTCCAGTCCGGCCACTTTCCCCCCCTTCCCAGTACCGGCCACTTTCCCCCCTTCCAGTCCAGACGCTTTCCCCCCCCCTTCCAGTCCGGACACTTTCCCCCCTTCCAGTCCGGACACTTTCCCCCCCTTCCTGTCCGTTTCCACTTTCCCTCACCTTCCAGTCCGGCCACTTTCCCCCCCTTCCAGTCCGGACACTCTCCCCCCCCCTTCCGGTCCGGACACTTTTCCCCCCCCTTCCGGTCCCCCAGACACTTTCACCCCCTTCCAGTCCAGCACACTTTCACCCCTTCCAGTCCGGCCACTCCCTTCCCCCCCTTCCAAGTCCGGCCACTTTCCCCTCACCCTTCCAGTCCAGACGCTTTCATCCACGCCCCCCATTCAAACAGTCCGGTAAATACACACACTTTCGCCCCCCTATCCAAGTCCGGACTTACACTTTTCCCGCAGCTTCCACGGGCCTCCCGCCCTTCCAGTCCCGGACCACTCTCGAACCCCCCTTCCAGTCCGGACACCTTCCCCCCCCTTCGCTCACCCCCCCTTCCAGTGCCGGACACATTCCCCCCTCTTCCAGTCCGGACACTTTTCTCCCCCCCTTACGGTTCCAGACGACTTTCAGACCCCCCTACGGTCTAGCACACATTCAACACCCTTCCTTCAGTCCGGCCACTTTTCCCCCCCTTTCTCAGTCCTGAACCACTTGCCCTTCCCTCCCTTCCTAGTCCGGCCACCTTCACACTCCTTCCAGTCCAGGACGCTTTCAATCCCCCAGCATCTGGACACTTCTGGCACGTTTCTTCCCCCCTTCCAGTCGGACGCTTATCACACCCTTCACAGTCCGGACCCGGCCCCACTTTCCCCCCCAATCCAGTCCGGTTACCCTATCCCCCCCCCCCTATCCGAGTCCGGGAACGCTTTCCATTTCACCCCCCTATACCGAGTCCGGGAACGGTATCACCCCCCCTATCCCCAGTTCCGAGACGCTTTATTCACCCCCCCTTCCAGTCGGACGCTTCATCCCCTGCCCCCCTCCAGGTGCCGGTGTACCGCTTTCACCACCCCACCCCTTCACAGTCCGGAGCATCTTCACCCCCCTTCCAGTCCGCGGACCGCTTTTCACCCTTCCCTTGCCATTCCGACGGCTAATCACCCCCCATTTCCAGTCCGGCGCTTTCACCCTCCCCCATCCAGTCCGGACTGCTTCCCCCTTCTTCAATGCCTCAGCAAAAAACAGGCTTCCATCACCAATTCCATGTCCGGACACTTTCACCCCCCTTCCCTGTCCAGGTTCAAGTTTTCCGGTGTTTCCAGCGCTATCACACGTTTGAATGGACAATGTGTAAGCGGACATGCCACTACTGTAACCCCATATGAATTATTTAGCAATTTTTTTTGGACAGATAAAGCTTCTCTATTTGGTGGTATTTATTCATACCTCTGGGATTTGTAATTATTTTTTTTGCACTTGTACTAACACCGACAAAATAATTGATAAAAAAAAAACAAAATAAACAAACAAGGGTTTATATTACTAAAATTTTGCAACTAAATTAAATCTTTTCATCATAAATCTTTGGCACAAATTGTATTCGGTTATCTTTTTCGTTACAAAACAACACAAAATAGAACTACCAAAACTAAGTTTTATAAAACCTAACAATTTAAATTATAATTTTTATCAAAAACAAAAATTCTAAACTTCCTCTTCAATTATTTCTTTTATATTTATCTAATTGTTTTACTCTCTTGTATTTATCTAACCAACAGTCACCCCTAGCAATAGTGGCACCCATGGTGACGTACTGTACTACTAGTTCTGGGGGAGGTGCAATCAGAAGTGTTGTCTTTCTTATTATTTGCTTTACACTGCGAAATGTACTTTTACACACCCACAAAGGCTGCCTCACAGCAAAATACACTATTCCTCCCTTCCTCATCATGGCCTCTACGCAGTACTGGGGGGGCGGCATTATTAAACAACTGTACCCTCCCACCCTGTCTACAACATTCAACCCACTAAACATGGTACAGTGTGAGCAGTTGTGAATCAGCCATGTAATGGTCCCAATCACAAAATAAGACCATAAAAAAAAGAAACAAATACCAACGCAACAAAGACTGAATGATAAAACCAATGTAAAAATGACCATGTAGCAATCAAAAAATTTCCCATAAAACGTAGATCTTAATGCAAAATCTTATTAAGATTGAAGATAACAATTAAAATACAATTTTATTAATTTACAAAGTAACAAATATAGGCGCCAAAAGGTTTGCCTCAGGGGCTGACCATCTTGCTATTACTAATACTCTGCATGGATCAAAAAGCTGATCATGCGGCCAAAAAATCCTTAAAGTCTAGGAACTAAAAATGATCGGAACAAAAAAAAATAATCAAATACCAAAAAGCAGAGTCCCCATAACAAACCCGTATCAAAGTTGGATATCTAAGATCACAAGAAAACATACTGCAGCCGCTAACATCGGTTAAGCTGCAGTATATTGTGTTTTTGCTTTTGGGTATCTGGCATCTAGTTTTCTTTTTTCAGCTTTTTTTCCATGTTTTTTTTCACCTGGTGATCCTGCCAGTAATACACTTCTTGCCCTACGGTGACAACACTGGCTGTACTGTATCTATAGAGGAGCAGTACATGCCGGATTTAGACTACAAACACCGCCCGCCACCCCAAATTGGACCCCACATTCACTATATCGCGCTCTCTCCGGACCCCGCATTCACTGTATCCGCTCTCACCGGACCCCGCATTCATCTATATCCGCTCTCCCCGGACCCCGCATTCACTGTATCCGATCTCCCCGGACCCCCGCATTCACTATATCCGCTCTCCTCCCCGGACCCGCATTCACTATTATCCGCTCTCCCCGGACCCCGCATTCACTATATCCGCTCTCCCCGGACCCCGCATTCACTATATCCGCTCTCCCCGGACCCCGCATTCACTATATCCGCTCTCTCCCGGACCCGCATTCACTATATCCGCTCTCCCCGGACCCCGCATTCACTATATCCGCTCTCACCCGGACCCCGCATTCACTATATCCGCTCTCCCGGACCCCGCATTCACTATATCCGCTCTCCCCGGACCCCGCATTCACTATAATCCGCTCTCCCCGGACCCCGCATTCATTCACTATCCCTCCGCTCCTTCCGATGACGTTTTTATCTCATGACTTGAGATCTGCACTATTTGTGTCTTTTAGATCTGCTTGGAGTTTTGGTGCCCAGAGATCATCCCCTCGGAGGTGGAATGTCGGTGCTCTGGCTGTGTGTGTCTTCCTAGCACAGATGCCACTGAATGATGAGGATTGGTATGGCCGGGACTCGTCTTCCCGAATAATAAACTGTATTGAACAAGTAAAACGTACACATAAAAATGACTTCCGCGTTTCGGCAATAAGCCGCAGTCATTGCTTGGAGTTTGGTTTTAACCACCTGCAGTCCAGGCCGATTCTCACATTCCTCTCCTACATGTAAAAAACATCTTTTTTTTTTTTTTTTTATATAGTTATATAGAAAAAAAATTCTTAGAAAAATTACTTAGAGCCCCAAAAAACACTATAAATACTTTTTTTAAGCAGAGGTCGCCATAGAGGGAATAACATGGCGGGTGTCTCATATTTTTATGACTCGCGGTATTTCCACGGCAATTTTTCAAATGGGGGGGAAAAAAATACAACTTAATGAATTTTCATGCGCAAAAAAATAGATTATAATACCCACTTTTTTGGTAACATGTAAAAGATGATGCTATGCCGAGAAAATAGATACCAAACGTGCGGCCTCGTTTTGTTCCGAATTCTAATTCAGAGGAATTTTTCGTTATTTGGATATTCAGATGTCTCCGAATTTCCGAATTACATTAGTAATGAATCTGAAATAATGAAACAAAATGGGGACGAAATTCAAATTGAATTTGAATATGAAAAGAATAGAATAGAACATAAAAGAAATAGAATAGATAAAAGATTAGAATACAATGTAAAAGAATAGAACATAAAAGATTAGAATACAAAAGAATAGAATAGATATTAAAAGATTATTTATTTCAGGTACTTGTATAGCACCGTCCATTTACGCAGCGCTTTACACATATATATATTATACATTCACATCAGTCCCCCCGCCCCGAGGAGCGTACAATCTAAGGTCCCTAACTCACATTCATACATACACATACTAAGGACAATTTAGACAGGAGCCAATTCACCAACAGCATGTCTTTGGAGTGTGGGAGGAAACCGGAGCACCCAGAGGAAATCCTCGCAGGCACAGAGAGAACATGCAAACTCCAGGCAGGTGGTGCCGTGGTTGGGATTCGAACCCGACGACCCTAGTATTGCCAGGCGGAAGTGTTAACCATTTAGCCTCTGTGCTGCCCATATTAATAAATACAAAAAGATTAGAAAATAAAATGTAAAAGAATAGAATAGAAAAAAAAAATAGAATAGAGTCAAAATAGAATAGAACTGAATATCTTCTGAAATCTGAATTTCGAATAGAATAAATTTGAATTCCTATAGATTAGAAAATAGTAGAAGAAAAGAATAGAATAGAAAAAAACAATGGAATAAAAAAAATATTTCAAAATAATAAAAATCTTCTGAAAAAATTCGAAAAAAAATTTGAAAAGGATAAATTCGAATTCGCAAATAGATTAGAAAATAATAGTAAAAAACAATAGAATAGAATATAAAAACCTTCTGAAATTCGAATTTCGAAAAGAATAAATTCAAATTCATATAGATTAGAAAATAGGAGAAGAGAATAGAAAATAAGAGAATAAAAAAAGAATAAAATAGAATAAAAAATCTTCTGAAATTCAAATTTCAAAAAAAATAAATTTGAATTTGTATAGAAGATTAGAAAATAATAGAAAAGAATAGAATACAAAATAGGAGACCAGAATAAAAAAAAGAAAAAGAATAAAAAAAATAAAAAATAGAATAGAATATAATTAGCATATAAAAAAATTTTCTGAAATTCGAGTTTTGAAAAGGAAAAAAAAAAAAATTCTTAAAGTAATTAGAAAATAAAGAAAAAAACAATAGAATAGAATATAAAAACCTTCTGAAATTCGAAAAAAAAAAAAATAAAAAAAAATTCATATAGATTAAAAAAAAAAATAGAATAAAAAATAAGAGAATAGAAAAAGAAATAAAATAGAATAGAAAAATCTAAGAAAAAAAAAAAATTTAAAAAAAGAATAAATTTTGAATTTGTATAAATTAGAAAAAATAGAATAGAAAATAGGAAATAGAACTAGAATAAAAAAATAATAGAACAGAAAAAAAACCAATATAAAATAAATTAGTAATAAAAAAAATCTTCTGAAAATTCTCATTTCAAAAATAATAAAAAAAAATTCGTATGGATTAGAAAAAAGAGTAAATAGAACATAAAAGAAAATAGAAAATAAAAAAATAATAGAACAGAATAAAATAGAAATAAACAATAGAATATAACAGAATATAACTGTCTTCCGAAAATTTGAATTTCGAATAAAAAAAATTTGAATAGATTAGAAAAGCATTGAAAAGAAAAAGAATAGAAAATAGAGAAAAAGACTAAATTACGGTTTATTTATTTGTTATTTATTTTTTACACTGTAACTTTTTTTTTTTGTTTATCACTTTTTATTGCTATTAGAGATAGTGAAAGAAGGAGAAGGATGAGAAGAAGGAGAAGGATGAGAAGAGGGAGGGGGGGGGGGGAAAAAAGGGAAAAAGGGGGGAAGGAGAAAAAAAGGGGGGAAAAAA